GATGTTCGGAAAATATACCCTGTCCAGCGGCACGTCCCCAGTACCTTTACCAATGGGAGTGCCCCCCCAGGGGGGGGGGGGGTTAATTGCCCCGTTTACTGGTATCCCACAATAAACTATAAATTGTCAGAATAACAGAGCTATGACTATTATACGGTTCACAAAAATTCTTAGGGAGGGTGGGGCTTACAGCATCCCACCCACAGCTGCTGGTTGGCTCGTGAACTCGTTTTAGCACTTCGTGATGAGCACAGCCGCCCACCATTCATTTCTGCACAGAAGTTTACATCATTAACCAATTAGAAAAAATCCGTCTTTCTAATGTATGGTATGAGGTTAAAGCGCACAAGTGGTGAGACCCCGGAGGGCTGAGGCGTTTTTGAAGCCAAAACTCGCATGTGAAGGTCAGATTTTCTCTCTCTGAGCCTTTCCCTGGAGGTTCAACTGCCCCTGATCACAACACTGGTCTACTGGAGCTGAGAAAAGTCAAGAATGTCACTATGACATAAAATGTTAGGTAGAAGTAATTAAAAACGATTAAACTAAAACAAATAAAGTACTAATTGAGTCATTATAGAACTCTTTATTATACAATTGAACTACAATAATAAAACAGTAGCAGTAAGTATTGTACAAATATCTGGTAACGATACTAACAGTGTTAGTAACCCAGTACACAAATTTAGGATCAACATGTGAATATGATGGGAATATAAATTAATAGACTGTCAGGAAATCCATAATATCAAGTAATAAATTTTACCTGTGACTTTCATTAGGTCGATTTTGCTTGGACTGAACTATACTGAACAATATCTAAACACACATGATGTATATACTCTATGGCCGTCTCTATTCATACATACCATTTTGTAACAAAATAAAAGGTTATAAATATGACGATACGATAAATATATGACACAAGTAATCTACAAAAGTATTGGCTACATGCACCTTATCTAAAATTATAAAAACATAATCTACTATTGTAAATATACTTGTTACTAACATTGGAACATATGTATTAGAAGGCCACATCAAAGAAAATCGAGACAATTATTCACAAGCGAGAACACTGATTAAAAATCAAATCAAACAATAATCATTGTGATAAAATATGATAATTAATGTTACATACTGTATTAAAATAAAGCCAAGGAAATCACAGGTCTCCTACTACACGAGCTCTATCTTCATCTTTAGAAAACAGAAAAACATTTTCACATTAAAAATGTTTAGATAGGACGAGGGCAAAATATCTATAGAGAACAGTATTTTACTACATTTATACGCGTAGCCGATATAAATCGAATAATTCTAGCCTTAGATAATAGTAATTTACAATTCAAGTTGGGTTTAATTTAAGTACAATTTACATAAAGCAATATGGTCACTGCACCGTTGAAATGCAGCAAAAGATTGCGATAATTTTTACAAAGTTCTACTCCAGACCAGCAATCTCCATCAGTGCCATGGCAGCCATCCACTTTTCCTTGTGCTCCTTCCTTGGCAGCTTTCTCTTTCGGAGAGGGAGGCATGCATCATCAGACATTGCCAGACTGCGCTTTGGCGTTACGGCGCACTGAGTTGCGTTCGCTGAAGCACGTGGTATGGGAATGCTGTGGTTGTCGGTATTCAACGACACAGGGTGGTGGTGGGAGACGTCAACGCTAACCTGCGAACGGGGCATTGTGGGCAAAGACACCACAGGTGCAGCATTGTCTAGTTGAAATGGAGGCGTGGCCGAGCAGGGAATGCCAGGCAACAAACTTGCAAGGCTCTGGGGAGTATGGTCAGGCGTGGATGGAAGATGCGGGAACATGCGCGTCGGAACAGGCTGGGAAGCGACAGCCTGGTTCGAAGACAGATATGCTGGATACGATATGTAGAGCATCGGATGCGAGCTCGCTTGCAGCGTCGTCACCTTACTCTCCGACGCGTCACGGCGAGGTGTGTCCGGCAAGATTTCGCGGCGATAAGAGCAGGACCGCGGCGTCTGCTGCCTGCCACCTCGGCCAAACGGTTGCTGGGGCGTGACCGGGTGTCCGAGCGAAGCGTCGCCCTCGCCGGGAAACAAATTTGCAGTTTGCCGGACACCCGACGAACAAAAGTCAGCCTCGGTTTGCCGCAATGGAGTTTCGGCGCACGTCGTCGTGATGACCGGACACTGCTGGCAGTTACGCCTCAGCGCGGGAGAGAGTGCGGAGTTCGGACCCTTCGAGGCGAGGCCACGGACTCGTCTGCGAGTCGGCGTCTCGCAGATGACGCCGCAGGGCGGCGGATACGTGCTCGAGACGTTCGTGTTGTCACTCATCGGCTTGCGCTGGAGCGCTGCCGAGTCGTGCGCAAACGGCTGATCGTGCGCGGCAATGCTCTGCTGCTGCAGCACTGACGACAGCATCGCTCCCGTCTCCGCTAGACCGCGACTCAGCTTCTCTTCGCACTCCGCATCCGAGGCGTGTGCCGTCGCCTGCGGGAGCGGACTGCCCGGTGTGTTCTCCTCGTCGCTGTTGCCGTGAGCCGCAGAAGCGTAAAACTGGGTTTCACCAGGATTTCTGTCGCGATTCATTTCCGTCGACTTCCTGGGAATCTGCTGTGCGATGCTACCCCACATTGGCTGCTTGTTTGCCTGCGCGTTTTCAATGGTTGTCAGCGTGGCGTTCGTCGTATTCGAGATGGGTTCTTCGTCCAGTGGCTTTGCTAGATCCGTGGCGTTGCTTTCGGATTCTGATTCGAGTCGCGTTCGTCTCCGCTTCTGCTTGCTACCATCAGAATTTACCTGTGATTCCAGGCTCCGTTTTGCCTGGTTTTCTTTTGTGTTTTCAGCTGCATTTTTCTCTCGCTTTCTTTCATACCTGTAACAAAATTTACAGATTTGCATGATAATTCCATTGTGCCCTACTATTAGATACTCTCTGATCATAACTAGTTACGTGTTAGAAGACTTCGTCTACTCAAACTAATCAGATGCTTTTAGATGTAACTTGGAAAATCTAAACAGGATGGCTAAAAGTAAAACAGCCCTGAGGCAGTAACAATATTGTTTGATTGTAGCACAGCAATGCGTCGAAATGAATGCATAAACAGTCTGTCTAAACGCCATTGCAATAACCGTAGTATTTCAGCGTAATAAGGGAAAACAGTGCCGTCAGGAGACGCAGTTTTCTGTAGAGATGGTGGTCACAAGCAATAAAATGTCAATGTACACTGTAGCTCATCCACAAAGAAAGGAGCACAAATGAGTAAGTAAAAGAAGTCAAGTTTTTAATTGAGTCAACCATCCGTACGTAGCATTATAGAACGATTGCCATCCTGTATATCGCAATTATATATTTTATAAACCCAAATGAATCACATTTGTGACTGTAGATTGGCGCTATAACCCGCTTAGCGATGGCGTTTGAATAAATAGGTTATGCTAGCGTTCCGACATGTTTTGTAAATCTTTACTCTAATATCATGACGTTTTATCGAGCAGGTGGAGGAGAAATACCAATTTTGAGCATTCAAAGATTTGTCCAAGATGAAACTCTTGTAAAATACGAACCAGACGAGTGTGACACCACAGACTGTTTGTGTCTAATAATATGGCATTAATTGCAACCTACCTACAATGGTCTGCATTTTTTTTTTATAAATAACGCCCCTAGCCCTTATTCAATCACATAGCCAAAATGAGCAAAATCCGTTGAACCTTGAACTGAGCTAATGCAATTCCCATTTTGCCACAAAATTGTCTGTAGTTTCGAACAGTCCGTCGACTCTGGCGTCCTTCAACATAGGCTTGTTTAATATGGGAGCTATATCAGTAACAACATACCCAATTTTCAAATAATCATGTGGGCCAAACCGGTTCCTTGCAGTTATCGTTGACCGAAGCGAAAAGTTTTACGGATAGACGACTGACGTACGACGACGACGACCCATGGCAATAGCTCAGCTTGACCAGCGATTGTTCAAGTGTACGCTAAACACTAGTGGCCCTCCGGCCTCCGTCGGCAGCCATTTTCGAACGCTGAGTCCCCGGACAAACGAATTCTCGTGCCAACACCCGTAGCAACATGTGACTGTCACCTAACCGTTTCGAGCGTATTTTTGCTTGGCACCAATTTAGCCATTGGCACCACGATTACCCTATTTACGATTTAAATAGAAGTACTCATTTCTTAGTAAAATTGCAGTGATATTGGACCAAACTAAATACCGCGTGCTATAGAGGTAATGTACTATTAACTACCCACCATGTGCCAGTTACTGTAGCAATCATCAACTTTGCATAATCAATGGGCCTATTATGCCTTTAAACGTCGGGTCTAATATTCCTTCAAAGGTGAAGCTAATTTGCGACATCCCACAAAACCTCCGACACATCTTAATTTCGAACCCTGTACACGTGTGCAAATTTACCATAGTAGCAAGTAACCCAAAAACTCATACCTAGTGAGCCACTGAGAAATAGCATCATCATCCTGTTCTTCGTTTCCGACAACTGGTTGCAAAGGAAGAGCGACAGCTGTGTCTCGCTTTAATGATGCTGCGGGATGCTTAGGGCAGTGTCTGTTGGCGTGTGCAAATCTTATTTCACAACCTGGTGAAAATAAAAATGTAAAAAAATGAATGGCATTTATGGATACATTCTGTGCATTGCATTAATAGCCACATTTCATACCATATTTGAACAACAATGATTTACAACAGGAAAGTTTGTCACATTCATGATTTATTTAATTAATTTAAAGCTGGTGACACTTTATATTAGAATCATTACTGATAAGAACCAAGCAACTTATGAATGCATACCTGAAATAGTACACACGAATGGTTTCTCTCCTGTATGCAAACGCTGATGAGTCTTTAGCTGCCCGCTCTGTGTGAAAGCGCGGGTGCAACCGGGGTAATCACATTTATACGGCTTTTCTCCTAATTAAAAAAAAACAAATAAAAATAATTTACTTTATAATTATGAAAATGAATCTGTTAAATTCAAAAACAAAGTCAAATGTCACAATGAATATACTTATTTAAAACTATTGTTATTCCAACCACAACCAATATGCTTTGATAACTGCAACAGCAGACTCAACCCCATCATTTTAGTGCTGACTCTTGCTTTTCGGAAGAAGTGAGCGCATTGTGAACTCCATTGACTAAAACTTTCATTGTATGAACAGCAAAACATCTTGTATGATTAGCTAATTATATAATTTATATTGCACTTAAGCCCTGCACTATAGCAGTGCTGGGCAACATTTATCCCCCATGTAGCATCAAGTGTGGCGAATGAAAAGAGATTCTTCAAAATAGACAAATAGAGAAGGTAGGTCAATAAACCAAAATGTAAAATATATAATAATAAATATACTGCGCAAGCAGGGTTATTGGAAAATATGTACATTTTGACTACTTATTGCAACTACATTAATTAAATTAAAATAATCAAATGATTAAAAATTTAACAAATAATTTGACCATCTCCGTGAGAGAATTAAGTTTCAGAAATGAACCGTTAATAGTAAAAAAAAAATATTTGAACTTTTTCACAAAATGTAAGTAATTCTGTTATGGTTAAATTGCTGCATTATACTTCCTATTTTACTATATTGTTCAATGTAAACATACACTCGTGACTCATACATAACCCATAGCAAGCAATTAATGTCAGGGTCATAATATCAAATCGTCCAAGTTTTTTGGGTTTTTAACTAGTTCAGTAGTTGAGAAAAAATCTTATCAGGTAAGAATTTGGCGATACATTTAGTGCCGTTACTGCGTTAGTACCTACTTTTCATGTAAAAAAAATGGCAACAATTAAAAAAAAAATACACCATAGAAAATTCGTGACGTACCCCAGTCAATTAGAATAGAGATCAATCAAACTCGTGTCTTTCAGGGAAGTTTCTGCTGTACAACTAATAATTTCCAACAGAGCTTTACCAAGTACCTAATGAAATATTTAATACTGTGGCAATCAAGGGGCAAATGGACACAGCGCTGTGGCGTTCCTGAGTACTTCAGCGCTTACTCATAATGTGATTATAAATTGTACTAAGTAAAAGTAACAATAGGCCTACTCAATAGCAACAGAGTGGAATTAAGAAAGTTACGACACCAGATAGTACCGCTATCAGTTTTACGCGCCCTAGCTGCACGCAAATCACTAAATTTATTTACGACTCCAGTAATTGAGTAAATGTATAAACCGCGTCTGCTTACTACTACTACTAGTACTAGTAGTAGTAGTAGTAGTAGTACTAAGCCTAGGGCGGCAGCTAGGGCCTACTACTACTCACAACCCCAGTGAAAGTATTGTTGTCACACATAATCGGCCAGTAATGTACTTTACGCGCGCTGGCACACTGCCACCACTGTCCCAGAATAATCGGCTCTTTTGAAGTTGCGACTAGCATGTTTGGCGGTTTAAAAATGGCGCGTACCGAACAAGGGTATTTAAACAAGGGACTTACCAGTGTGGGTTCTAAGATGTGCTTGAAGAGACTTCTCTCTGGGAAACACTCTGTGACATATCTTGCACCTTATATTACTTGGAGAAACGTTTCCTTCAAAGATCAGGGATGAAATGCTATCCGCTCTGGGTCTCCCGCGTCTGCCTGGTGTCGTATGCTTGCTCTCCGAATTGTCGCTGCCGCCGGATTGGTATGGTCCTGGGCTCAGTGTGATGTTTTGTGCCCCTATGCTCCAATTCCACGGATACAACGAGCTGTCCTTCAATGCAGGGCTTCCATGTGGATATTGTGGAATCATTCCGGTAGGAAATCCTCTATCGGGAGACGAAAAGGGAGAGCAAATTTTCGGACAACCTTTCACAGCCGTGTCCATGTTGATGAACGAAATTTCCCGCGCAAACTTGCTGGGATGCATTGTGGGATATAGACTTAACACAGTGCTGTTCTTTATGTGTGTATTTCACTACTCACTAAAACACTGATATGGGCATTATTATACATTGATGTTATATCATTTCACTATGAAATTAAACGACCTTTACATTATCCATACATGCATTATCTCAAAGTTGCACAAGGTCGTTGTTAAGTTTCCCGCTAGGGTTTCCATATTTGGAAAGGCCCGGATGATGTCATACCATATCGCATTGTCATCCCGGCATGCATTTGGCAAGAAGAACACGCCATCTTTTTCGAAGCTCATATCTTACCCGTTTAGAAGTTTAAAATCCACAGCCATCTTCCTCTGAGAGAGGAATTAGCGGCTATGGAGAACTACACATACGGGGTGAACGTAGCGAACAGGTATTTACTGTTCATAGATGAAGATAAGGATCCTCTCGAGATCCTCAAAGAACAAGAGGAGGCGAACAAGCTAAAGCCCAAGAAGGATGAGAAAAAGACGTCAAAGGGGAAGAGTTCATCATCGGAGCCAGACAAATCCTCAAAATCTGCCAAAGCCAAAGGAATAAAGAACGTTGCTACGACCACGATAGACTCTGAGAATAAGCCGGCAAAGTCAAGACAGACTGATGCGTCTACGAACAAGGACAAAGGTAAAACTGTTTCTCGACTTCAAATTCACGTGCTGTTCTGTGTGTCAGTCAGTGTTTGGCAGGGTTTCAACATGGAGCCCAACGCGGTCTGTACAGGTAGATCCATTGACAGTCGTTGCTGTTGGTTGTAACTGACTTTGACTTAGTTTCGCGTAGTTTGAATCGGGTACGCTATGAGTATGAGTAAAACCACAGGCACTTGGAACGTCTCAATAAAAAAGGTAAATAAACACGAAATGTATTTACTACCAAAGCCTTAATGTTTCTCTACTCTATTTCGCCTATAATCACCTGTAAATGGCTGTCAAATGCTCATCTGCAACACACAAGACAAGTGCAGCGCACGCTAGCTGTTGCACACTGACATATATTGTCATTGACATAAATATATACTATAGCAGGTAGGAAGGCGTGCTGCCAAAATTCGCTTGACGCTCGCTTGATTTCATACGAATACAACACAAATATTCACAATATTCTACTCCAGGGTTCTCCCTACGTTGCGCAAACGGGGCGCGCGCGCCCCGTTTGGGGAAACTCCCCCCTGTTTGAATCGTTGCGCCCCGTTTAAATTCCACCACAATAAAAGTTTGCCAGCGCGGGAATCGACCGCCAACAATCGCCGTTCGACCAGGAAATCCGACGCGTGTATTTTTACCGTACCACGCATGCA